TGAACCCGGGAGGCGGAGCTTGCAGTGAGCTGAGATCCGGCCACTGCACTCCAGCCTGGGCTACAGAGCGAGACTCCGTCTCAAAAAATAAAAATAAAAATAAAATAAAATAAAATGTGTATTTTACAGAGACGGGCGCGGTGGCTCATGCCTGTAATCCCAGCACTTTGGGAGGCCGAGGCAGGTGAATGACTTGAGGTCAGGAGTTCGAGACCATCCTGTTCAACGTGGCAAAACCCTGTCTCTACTGAAAATACAAAAATTAGCCAGGTGTGGTGGCGGGCACTTGTAATCCCAGCTGCTTGGGAGAGTGAGGCAGGAGAATCACTTGAACCTGGGAGGCAGAGGTGGCCGTGAGCCGAGATTGCGCCACTGCACTCCAGCCTGGGTGACAAGAGTGATACTCCGTTTCAAAAAAAAAATCAAATGTCCGTTTTACAGAAGAAGAGACTGGGGCTCGGGCAGTGACTTTCTCAGAATCACGGTGTGGGGTAGATGGCAGAACCCGGCTCACATCGACAGTGGCCTGTGGCCCAGGCTCCCTCTGGGGTGCTGCTGGCTTGTTCCCACCCACGGGCCTTGCCTTCACCACCTACCTGTCCATTGTCTGGGGCCCTCCTGGACGTTGGGCTCAGAACAGCTCCCTTGTGTTCCTGTCGAGGAGCCTGCCACCGGCCAGAGGGCTACATAGGTTGTGACAGGCCTTCCTGGGAAGCTTGGTGGCCAGTGGAGCTGGGTGTCCTGGGCCGGCTGAGGCTGGGCTGGAGGCGGTGGGTGCAGGGGACTGTAGTTCCCCCACCCACGGCATCTCATTGCAGCTCTTGCTTCCCCGCTCAGGACCTGCCTCGTCCACCATGAAAGGCACCCGGGCCATCGGCAGCGCCCCGGAGCGCAGCCCGGCAGGTGTGGACCTGAGTCTGACAGGTCTCCCTCCGCCTGTGTCCCGGCGTCCTGGCAGCGCCGCCACCACCAAGCCCATCGTCCGCTCTGTCTCCGTGGTCACAGGCAGCGAGCAGAAGAGGAAGGCGCTGGTGAGTACTGTGGCCTAGGGGTCCAGGCCTCTGCCTCCTGGAGGGCTATTGTTCGGTTGGCATCTGACCCCTGGGTCCTGCTCTACATGTGAACAAGTGCCTCACATCTGGACATGTTGGAGCCTTGTGGCTGTTCCGGGGGCAGGTAGGACTTGAGTCTTACAGGCGTGGATGCCAAATCACTAGAAGGTCAAGCCAGAGCCTGGATTCTTTCAGCACCAGCCCCAGGCCTCCTGTGCCACCGCCCTTTGGATTCGTTTGAATCCTCAAGAAATGGGGTTGGTTCGGCTCGGTGGCTCACACCTGTAATCCTAGCACTTTGGGAGGCCAAGGCAGACGAATCACCTGAGGTCGGCAGTTCAAGACCAACCTGACCAAGATGGTGAAACTCCGTCTCTACTAAAGATATAAAAAAAAATTAGCCGGGCATGGTGGCGCATGCCTGTAATCCCAGCTACTCTGGAGGCTGAGGCAGGAGATTTGCTTGAACCTGAGAGGCAGAGGTTGTGGTGAGCCGGGATCGAGCCATTGCACTCCAGCCTGGCAACAGAGTGAGATGCCATATCAAAAAAAAAAAAGAAAGAAAGAAATGGGGTTGACCTGACGGGAGGGTGATGAGCTCCTGGAGGTCTTGGAGAAACCTAGACGGGCGTGTGGGTGTGTGGGCAGCAAGACAGCTATGGGAGCTTCGGGGTGAGAACTGCCTTTCCTGCCCACCTCTGGGAGTGGGGAGGAGGGTGACCGGTTCCCAGATGGGGGCTGTGAGAGGCAGGCTGGGCCTGCTGCACCCTAGTAGGTGTCTGCCAGGCCCAGTCTTCAGAGCAAGGGAGGAATCGAGCGGCTCTGTAAGGGTTGGGGCAGAGCCTGACCAGAGTCTCGCCTGAGCTTCCGGAACAGCAAGGGCCTGGGGGCCTTGGCTTCGATGAGGCAGCAGGTCTGGGGCTCCCTGCCTGAGGTCCCTGCAGGGCAACACAGCAGGGCAGAGAGAAGGCTCGTGGGGTCTGGAGGGCAGTCGAGGCTTCCCACAGGAACCCCTGGTGTGTCCAGGCCAGGGTTCCACTGTGAATAAAAGGCTTGGACCTCCCCCTCCTTGAAAAAGTTATTCCTGTGTCTGCCCTAAGCTAGAGGTGGGCAGAGTGGGGCCCGCCAGATGCCTAGCCGAGTTCCAGGGTACGGGCAACTGGGCCAGTAGCCGGCCCTTGGACCAAGTAGGTTCCCAAAGGCTGGGGCCGGCAGGGCGGGGACCCAGGATGTCCTGATGTGTCAGTGTGGCCAGCAGGTTGTCTCAAGATTTGGTGCGTCTTTGGACATTTACAGACATAAGCTGTAAAAATAAAAGTATGCTGCACTGTTTGAGCAGAGGGGTAACCAACTTGGGCTAGAGCCATCTCTGAGCCCTCTGCCTCTCCTGTCCGCATCCCTGCTTCTGCGTCACTGACCCCCTCACCCACCTGCCTTGGCCCCTCCGTTTCTAAAGCCCTAGGTTCATGGCACCTGGGGCAGGGAAGACGCACTTGAAATCGCAGATCTGGGCTGGGCGAGGTGGCTCACGCCTGTGATCCCAGCACTTTGGGAGGCTGAGGTGGGCAGATCACCTGAGGTCAGGAGTTTGAGACCAGCCTGGCCAAAATGGTGAAACCCTGCCGGGCGCGGTGGCTCAAGCCTGTAATCCCAGCACTTTGGGAGGCCGAGGCGGGTGGATCACAAGGTCAGGAGATCGAGACCATCCTGGCTAACACGGTGAAACCCTGTCTCTAGTAAAAATACAAAAAACTAGCCGGGCAAGGTGGCGGGCGCCTGTAGTCCCAGCTACTCAGGAGGCTGAGGCAGGAGAATGGCGTAAACCCAGGAGGTGGAGCTTGCAGTGAGCCGAGATCGCGCCACTGCACTCCAGCCTGGGCAACAGAGCGAGACTCTGTCTCAAAAACAAACAAACAAAAAAATGGTGAAACCCTGTCTCTACTGAAAATACACAGATTAGCTGGGCGTGGTGGCGTGCACCCTTAATCCCAGCTACTAGGGAGACTGAGACAGGAGAGTTGCTTGAACCCGGGAGGCGGAGGCTGCAGTGAGCCGAGATCACGCCACTACACTCCAGCTGGGGCGAAAGAGCCAGGCTCTGTCTCAAAAAAGAAAGAAAGAAAGAAAGAAAGAAATCGCAGCTCTGTTGTTGTGTGGAGACAATGTTGTAAAAGTTTCCGGGTTTTCTAGTAAATGGTCATTCGGTGGCATGGACAGGCTCTATCCACGGCCGACCCGGGCACCTAACCACACTCCCAGCCTTTCTGCTGAGAATTGTTCTGTTGCTGAATAGAGGTTCAAAGCCACAGCGAGCACTAATCATATTGATCCTCCTTTCCTGGGCCGGCACCATCACCCGCTCCCGCAGTGTTGAGTGGCGACTGCTGACAGTCCCCTCGTTCATGGAATGTTCCAGCTGTTCACTTCAATTCTTTGAGCCCCTCGCTCGATCCAAAACGCCCCACCCCTGCATGCCTGTCTGCCTTCTGTCGGGCACATGGTGGGAGCTCAGGAACTGCTGGTGGAAGAGGGACCCCCGCCAGTGTGTGACGTGGCCTCGGGGGTTTCTGTTGTGCCCGGTCCCCGTCCTCTCGGCCACCTGCCCTGCTACGACTCAGTCTCATTGGGATTCCTGGAGAGCGTTTATTTTGGCCAGGCATGGCATCACACCTGTACCAGGCGGCACGCGATTCTCTTCCTCCTGGTGTTTGGGGGTGGGGTACGGTGCTGTCCCCTGGCTCGGAGACCTTCTCAGTGGCCATTGGCCTGGGGTTTCCACTCTACTCCTTGTCTCTAAAGATCTTCCTGGGTCCAGGGTCTGCTGTCCCGGGATTCCCCATCCAGGATGTAACTGCAGTTCCTGCCAGTCTTCTGGCTCAAGAAATGTCGGTGCCAGACTGTAGAGGGTCCCTCTTCCTTGCTCGAGCTGTATGCCCACCTGATCCTCTAGCCCCCTAGGTCATTATTCTCTCTGATTCCCTTCCCCATAAAGAAAAGAGATCTTTAAATCCCAAGAGCACAAGCTCACTGGGGAACAGACATCACTGCACACGTGTCACGGCCATGGGGGCCGCCTGCCCCTCCCTGGGCGATGATGCCCCCTCCTTCTTGCAGGTGGAGTTTAGGGTTTTTGGTCCGTGACTGGATTTACCATCTGAGCTTGAGTGGCCTTTCCACCGTGGTGTCCGTCAGTGAGCGGAAGCCGCTTTGCCCCTCCCCTGACATCCCTCTTGGAGGCTGTGAAACTGTCCCCAGGAAAATCGAGGCAAGATGAAGGCCCCCGTAATCCATGGCCCTGATGCAATGACTGGTGCCATTGGCGGGGTGATTTCAAAACTCCGACCTGTGTTTTTTGAATAGGTCATTCACACGCACCGTTTGGGAAAAGGGAGCTCATTGAGCAGCGAGCCTGTCCTGCCTGACCTTGTGGGCCTCTCCTAGGC